TCTTGGAATTTTAGGCATGCACGCACAAGTACCTGGAATGATTTCCAAGCCATCAGGTCCGGGACTCAAACCTCAGTGGGCCATGTAGGAGTTCAGCACCTTAACCAACATGCCACCTGCTGGCCCAGCATAATTCTATTTTAAAATAACTAGGTGTAGTGTCATGAAACTGTGGTCCCAGCTGGGAGGAGGAAGGCAGAAGGCAGGAGGAAGGCAGCAGTTAGATCCTATCTAAAAAAAAGAAAGCCTACTTTCTGTGGATAGTTCCATTCACTTTTACAGCTTCAACCAATCCATACTAATAAGTTCTGTTGAATTGTTGGAAAAGTCATTAACACATTTTTGCATAGAAAAAAATCTGTCATGACTTTTCTGATAACCCTATAGACCCACATGTATATTCTAAATCTGTCCACTGAGATCCAAGCCCACATAAGTGACTCCAACTGGAAGTCTTCTCCCGCATACCCACAGGTGGCCTAGAGCAGCAGATACTGCAGGCACTTTCAACCTGTGTGGCCTCAGGTCCCTGTCACCATTTCTGTGAAAATCAGTCTGCCTTTTAAAAGCCTATTAATACCTACCTCTCTGTCAGAAATTGTCTTAATACCTATTGAATCTATGTCTCCTTTATCCTCGTCACTACCTTAGTCAAGATTCTAATTAATCCCCTAGTCACTTACTGGGTTTTCCCAAATTCAATCCTGTCTCTTTCTATACTTCATCTACTCTTCCCTCAGACTGGTTCTAAAGTAGCAACAGGTTCTTTTATTTCTTGATTAAAATGTTCTAGAGACTTCTTATTGCCTAATAAGAAAACCTCAGCTATTGAATAGGACATGTAAATGCCAACACACACACAGACATTCACAAACCCCTCAAATATCAGTTTTAATCCTGTCAACCTAAAAAGGAAGGCTGAGGCAAAATAAATAAAGCAAAGAGTTTATTTGGGTCAGAGTAGAGATGATCACTTGGGCATCACAAAGTCCAAGTTGCCCTGAATGATATGTGTTGACATCTTACAGATTTCAGGATGATTTAAAGGCAATAGTTGCTAATGGGAGTGGGGAGGAGCAAAGAATCTTGAATAGCAGTGATTGGTTAAATTTTATGATAAAGGGAGCAGGAAGACCTCTCGGTCACATGGAGTCACTTTGCCTAATCTTAAAACAAGTTTGGAACAGTGAGTCTGACATGTCGTAACTGAAACACACCCAAATGACCACAAACAGATGAATGGATTGAAAAAGTGTGTAACATATACTCTACGGAATACTACTCAGCCATAAAAAAAAATGAGATCCTGGTATTTGATAGAAAGTGTATGAATTTGGAAGATTTACTGAGGTTTAAAGAGAAACATTGTATGTCCCCACTCAATATATGCCAAATGTCTGCTCTCTCTGGCAGAAACTGAGAGAGTGGAAGGTATAAAGGCATGAGAGCAGCTGTGGATATTAGAGACAGTGTGAGAGGAGAGTGGGAAATGGAGGAGGGTGAGAGGAAAGGAATCAAGAGGAAAAAGGAAGAAGCAAAACATTTAAGAGATGATGATAGTATGTATGGTAATAGTGATATCTTTGACTGAACCAATATACAGTGTATTCATGACGGAAAATTCATTTGCTATGCTATAATGATACATAGCGATTGAATGTAAAATAAATCAATAAATAGAAAAAAAATCCCTCATACACTACTTAAAAAAGAAAAGAAGATTATAATTAACACATGCAGCTGGTAGGAGGTGAAGAAAGGATGTATTTGGGGCAATAAGAATGTTCATAAAGTAAAAAGTTTAATAAGTCTAGGTAACATCTTGACCTATTTCAGGTACACATAAGAAAGCCATAGATGTTCACGACTTCTATACAAAGGTAGAGTATAATTTCCTGCTCCTAAGAAAAATGGCATCTATCAGCCTCGTTGAAGTTCTATTGGTCTGTGATTTCTCTTGGGCACCTATTGGGTCATTGGAAAAGTCATAATGTATTTTCTATGTTTTTCTATGAAGAACTGTGTCATGACTTCTGAAGAACTAATGCTATTGGAATATGTGTCCTCTGACCCTGAGCCGCCCATCCATTTTCATGCCCTGAGCATGCCACCTTCAACCTTCAAAGATGGCTCTTGTACCTCAGTTTTCATGAGGAATACAGGACAAGAGGTTTGTGCTCACCCTGTGCACATTGTTGACATTCATGAAGGTAATAACAGGATAATGCTTCCCACACTGAAATTAAGATCACCTTCTGAGGCATAAACTAGCAAATTAATCACAGGACGGTTGAGCTTCTGTAACATAACCTTAAAAAAAAATAAAGTGTCAGGGTCAGCAGTTAGAGTGGTGGCTAAGGTGCTGGATTCCCACATGACTGACTGTGGTTCAAGGTCCAGGTCCATCCGCTTGAAAATCAGACTGGGCACATGCACACGTGCCCAAAATATTGAGAGGAGAATTGAGGAGAAGGGATTGGTTGTGGCCATCCTCCCTGGGGAGTGATTTCTCACTTTCCCTTTCCCTGTCTCTCTCTGTCATTCTCTGGTGAGTGTATGTGCCCTGTTGGGGGCAGGGGGAATCTCCTTAGTTTACAGCAGAAAAATTTAATCCCAAAATTAAGTTTATCTTTCCCTGGTTTAGACTTTTATCACCCCCTGTATACCTAGATATAAACAGTGTGTGCCCAAAGTCACACTACTAACAGATGGAGACCTCTAAACCCTATGTTAACTGCCTCACAAAGGGTTTGCAGTATACTCACATGGGAGGAGAAAAGGAATCCTTTCTGTTTCAATGTCTCACCTCCCAGATTTCTCTCAATGAAGTTGGTATTTCTCATGGCAGCTCCCTAAGCACCCTCATGGACTGTTTCTATGAACTCGCCAACAGGGTCCCACCATGTACAGGTAACAAAGGATAAGGGTCTCAGCCACCAGACCCTGGAGGCTAAGTTACCTTCTAGAAGCTCCCAGCATTTCTCTGCATGCCTCTATCAGAGCACCTTCATCCTGACTACCTACGTACTCAGCTGCTTCCTCAGTTTAGACTTTCAAGGAAAGCCACCATAATAAGGCTTATTCCTCACTGTACTCAAGCCACTAAAAGACCCCCTAGCACATAATGGGAGCCAAATAAAACACATTTAAATCAGTGAATGAATTAATGAATTTAGATATTAGAAACTCTCATCATTCACTTCATCCACCCATTTGTTACACCCTTTGAGAATTTATTTTTGGAGTTTAGAGGGAGTCAAAAGCAACCCTACAAAGGTACTGTCAGTGTGCTTGTTTTTCTAGATGCCCTTGCAACTGCCCTTAACCAAGGCTCTCCAGCCAGACCCAGCAGACAGACTTGAACCCCAGGCTAGCAGGATAATGGGGCCAAAATTTGGGTTTAGGCTGGGAAAGGGGACTCTATGTCTCTTTTTCTCATTCTCTCTTTCTCTATTTTTGTCTCTATTTCTGTCTCTCCCTTTGTCTTTCTCTATCTTTTCTCTCTTATCTCTTTTTGCCTCAGTCGCTGTCTATCTCTGTTTCCCGGTATCTCTGTATCTGTGCTCCATGTTGCTGTCCTTCTCTGTCTCCTCTTGTATCTCTCAGTCTCTCACTGCATCGAACTCTTTCTATTTTAGTGTCTTTGTCTTACTATCTCTTTGTGTCTCTGTGTCTATCTCTGCATTACTCTCTGTCTCTCTCTCTTTGTCTCTCTCTGGCGGGGTGCAGGAGATGCATCTGAAAAGTACATGTTTCCATGCAGAGTGGCATTCTGCTGGAGATAGTGGATGCAGTTAAGCCACTCGGGTGTCCCACACACGGCAGCCACAGTCAGGGGGTCACATGACCGGTTCTGCGGCACAGGTTGGACATTGTTCCTGGAGGATGAGCCTCCAGCCTCCTCAGAATATCCTCTTATTGATTTAATTTTACTTCTTTGTTTATTTTAATTCACCAGAGAGAAAGAGAAAGAGAAAGTGAGAAAGCAAGCAACCAGGTCCGGGATTCAATCTCAGTCAGCCATATTGGAGACCTGCACTTTAACCACCATGCCACCTGCTGCCCTGACTATCCTCTTAATAAACCCCTCATTTACTTAATTAGAACCAGCTTCTACCAGTTTCTGCTTGTGAGTAAGACCCCTGGTCTGACAGCTGGAAAGCTGCTCACAGAATTATTAGGAAAAGTTGATGATAAATAAAATATTTTTAGAGACTGTTAAAATTGATGAAAACCTGAGGGATTCTTAGAGATTAGCTAGCACCACACCTCAGTTTAATGGTTCAGAGATTCGGTCTCTGAAGCTCAGCAGGGGTCAGCCCAGCCTGGAATCCAAGCCTCCTGCCTTTTAGGACCCCTGTACAGCTCACATTCTGGGAAGCCACAGTTGGAAACTTCCTGGGAACACATATCCGGTTGGAAAAAAGAAAGGCCGATGTCCATCAATCAGGAGAAAAATCTACACAGGGAGAGAGACAAGGAAATGGCTTTGGCCTGGGAAAGAACTTCCTTCTCTGCCAGTGCAAGGATGGACAACCTGCGTAGCTGTTACAAGGGAAGAGGGAGATTGAGGTTGTCTTATCCGAACACAGTTGAACTAAAATCAGATGCTGACTGCGAGCTGAGAGCCACCTGCTCAGGCTCCTCTAACCTCCTTCCTTCCAGGGGCTCTCTGAGCTGTTCCAGCAGGAGGAATTTCAGTGTAAGCTGCCTTTCTGGAAACCCCATTTGAGCCACCTAACCCAGAAAACTAAACAGATCTGGCAGGTGATACCAACTCCAGGTTCCCAAACTGAAGGCCCAAGCCAACTGCAGCCAGACACAGACAGGTGTGCCCACATGACTTGCAGGCTACCTGGGCAAGTGACACGAGGAGTTAGTTATTAGAATTTCACTCTGGGTTACAACACCTCCCTTCAGCTCCATCTGTGCAGTTGTGCAATCCTCCAGCCCTATAAATACTGCCACACTCCTGCCTCTGGGAACATCTGTCAGCTCAGCCTCCAAGGGAGCCTCTCTTCTGCGATTCCAGGCCCAGCCCAGCCTCTCAGCCACCATGAAGCTGCTCTGCCTTCTGCTGACCCTCTGCTTACTGTCCTTCCAGATCACCCCAGGTAAGCTTCTTGACCTGCAGGTGTACCTGGGCTGGGCCAGAGACATTGGGGCTAGTTATGGCAGTTTCCAGCAGCTCCCAGCAACTCTCAGCTCCTTCTCTGTCCTGACGCCTGTAAGGTGTCCGGTGTGACAGGAATTGCTGCTTCACCTCGTGTTCATTGAAAGCCAGTCCCATCTTCACCCCAGGTCACTGGGTGGGGTCTGCAGGGTGCCTGCTGCAGGCATAGTGCTGCCCCTCCCACCAGACCGGCTCAGCAGAGCCTTGGACTCACCACATGTGCAGGCAATCAGGGATCCACAGGTGACCATCCAGCCTCCCTGAAAAATCCTCCCACGTTTTCTAGGCTAGAAGATCAACCCAGTCTCCTGAAGGGGGTCTTCTACCATGCTGTAGAGGGACAGCTTCCCTGGGCCAAAGCAGCCATGTTACTGATAGGACAGAAGGTGAGACCTGTGGGAGGAAACAGGAATCAGACTTATCACTCACTCACACTGATCTTGAGCAAGTCGCATGTTTCTGAGTTTTACTTTCCTCACCTGCAATATGAGGGGACTGGGGCAGATGACTCTAAAAGTATTATGACTTGGAAATTCTCTGAAAGATTCTATTGCACTCTTCTCCAGGTCACCACTTTATCCTACAGATATGCCTAATTTTCCTCCAGTTATACCTCAGTTTTCCCCTCTGGAAATTTGGTATGGAAGCATTCTAGGGGACCAGCAGGTAGCATACTGGTTACGTCACTGGACTCCCATGTAGTTGACCATGGTTCGAGTCTCAGACTAAGCGGCTTAAAACTCACACCACGCATGCATGTGTGCATGCCCAAAATCCCAAGAGAATGGAAGAGAAGGGATTGAGGCATGGCCATTCCCCCTGTGGGGTGGTTTCTCACTTTCTGTCTCTCTGTCTCTTCAGTGAACGCATGCACCCTATAGCTAAAATCCCTCTTAGGAAAAAAAAAAAGCATTCTAAATGCAGATTTTACATTGCCAGTTGTGATTCATTAGAGTGGTAGAGAAATCAATTTAGTAAGTCGCAACTTTTATCTGTTTTATAGAGAGAGATTTTCACCATAGGGCACATATGCTTACCAGAGAGACAGAGTGAGAAAGTGAGAAATCACCCTCCCCACCAGGGATGGCCATACCGCAATTCCTTCTCCTCCATTCTCCTCTAGGGATTTTATACACACATGCACACACACTGAGCATGTTTCAAGCCATCCATCGGGTTCAGAACTTGAACCATGGTTAGCTATGTAAGAGTCCAGTACCTTAACCATGCCTCCATCTGCTGCCCTCCCCTTTTTTAAGAATAGAAAATACCAGTGTATGCCATATAATAAGAGGCCATGTTGTTTTATTATTCTAAATCTATTTTGTGTGAGTAGTGTTAAAAGCAAAATTTAGACAAACCAACATTTAATAGAGTTTATTTAAACAAAGGATGGGCAATTTAGGTGGGGTAGTTTCCCAGAAGATGAGTTCTAAGAGACTATGGGTAGCCACATGGTTTACAAGTCGGCAGAATGAGAAAGTGACATGTGCAATAAAAGAGAAAATGTCGTGCAAAAAAAAACGTAAGTGAGGGAGTGAGGTTGAGAAATGATTGGTTGCAGCCAGATGGTAGGTTGCACAAACAGCCTAAAAGGCGGACTTTCTATGATCGACTAAATTGCGGCTAGTGTGAATGGCTGTAACTTGGTAACCAGCTCAAGAAAAACAGCTTAACATGTATGATTTCGGCTTACTTATCCACAGGAATTTAAGTGTGGGAGTACCTCAGTCGCTTTAGGCCGGAATAGCTTAGTCTAACGATTTCCCCCCTTTTGGTCAGCCTCTCAAATGTTTGAGAGATTGACCAAAACTTAGGCCATTGCACCACTCTCTGTCACCATCATAAATGATGTTTTCACCATTCTGACAGGGGTTAGGTAGAATCTCATTGTGTTTTAATCTGCATCTCATTTATGATAAGGGACGCTGAATATATGTCTTCCTTAGAGAATTTTTTGTTCAGCTCATTTTCCATCTTCTAATTGGATTAATGATTTTTTGGGGGGTGGAGGGCAGGGAGGTAAGCTACTTGAGTTCCCTGTGTGTTCTGGCTATCAGTCCCTTATTTGAGGCATAGTTTACAAAAATATTCTCTCATTCTGAGGGTTGTCAATTCATACTAATTACTGTGTCCTTTGCCATGCAGAATCATTTTAATCTGATGTAATGATATTTGTCTATTTTGGGAATTATTGCCTGTGCTTTGGGGGTCTTGCTTAAGAAGTCTTTGCCTACCCCAATGTCTCCCAGAGTATCTCCTGTGTTTTCCAAGAGTAGTTTTATAATTTGAGGTCTTAGGTTTAGATATTTGATCCATTTTAAGTTGACTTTTGTCAAAGGTGAAAGATGGGGATCCAGTTTCATCTTTCTGCAGGTGGTCACCCAGTTTTTCCAGCATCATACACTAAAGAGGTTTTCCTTTTCCCACTGTATTGACTGGTAACCTTTGTCAAAAATCAGTTGGATGTAAGTTTTGGGATTTATTTCTGGGGTCTCTATTCTATTCCACCTTTCTGTTTTTGTACCAATACCATGCTGTTTTGATTATCACAACTTCACAGTATATTTGGGGGTCAGGGTGTGAGATGCCGCCTACTCCACTCCTCTTGAGCAGGATTGCTTTGGCAATATGAGGTCTTTTATGGTTCCAGACAAATTCTATGATTGTCTTTTCTAGATCTGTGAAGAATGTCTCTTATAATTTTATAGCAATTGCAGTAAATATGTAAATTAATTTTGGTAGAATTGCCATTTTGATTATATTAATTCTTCCAATCCAGGAACATGGAATGTCCTTTAACTTTTTTGTGTCTTTTTCAATATCTTTTTTAAGATTTTCATAATTTTCTTTGTAAAGGTCTTTGACTTCCTTGGTTTGGTTTGTCCCTAGGTATCTTATACATTTTGTAGCTATGGTAAAAGAGATTCCTTTCTTCAGTTCTACCTCTGTCAACTTGTTTTTTATATATAGAAATGCTATAGAATTTTGGATGTTGATTTCATATCCTGTTACTTTACTGTAATAATTTGTTACTTTGAGAAGTTTTTCCATTGATACTTTTGGGTCTTCTATGTATACCATCGTGTCATCTGCAAATAAAAGATATTTTCAACTCTTCTTTGCCTATTTGAATGCCTGTTATATTCTCTTTTCTGATTGCATTGGCTAGAACTTCCAGTACTATATTGAAAAGGAGTGGAGAAAGTGGGCATCCTTGTCTTGCACCAGTGTTTAGCAGAAAAGCTTTGAGCTTTTCCCCTTTCAATATAATGTTAGCTATAGGTTTTTCATATATGGATTTTATTGTGTTGAGAAATGACAGTTGTATGCCAATTTGCTAAGAGTCTTAATCATGAAGGGATGTTCTGTTTTGTTGAATGCTTTTTCTGTATCTATTGAAATGATCATATGGTTTCTATCTTTCTTTCTGCTAGTATGATGTATTACATTTATGGTTTTATGTATGTTGAACTACCCTTGCATCCCTGGAATAAAACCTACCTGGTCATGATGGATAATCTTTTATATATGTTGTTGGGTACAACTTGCAAGTATCTTGTTGAGAATTTTTGCTTCTATATTCATCAGAGATATTGGTCCATAGTTTTCCTTTTTTGTCATGTCTTTATCTGTTTTGGGAATGAGGATGATGGAGGCATCACAAAATTAATTTGAAAGAATTCCTTTCTTTTGGAGCTTTAGAAATAATTTGAGTAGAATGGGGGTTAACTCTTCTGTAAAAGTTCTGTAGAATTCAGAAGTTAAGTCATCAAGACCTGAGCTTTTCTTTTCTTTGGGAGGTTATTTATTACTGATACAATCTCATGGCTTGTTGTAAGTTTATTCAGCCTTTCTATATCCTCCTTATTCAATCTTGGTAGATTATATGCATTCAGAAATTTGTCCATCTCCTCATGTGCTCTTGCTCATTGGCATATATCATTCAAAGTATCCTCTAGTGATGCTTTATATTTTTATTATGTCTATTGTAATATTGACTGAGCCAATATGTATTTAATTTATCTGGTTTCTTTCTCTCATATTCTTTATTAATCTTACTAATAGTGTGTCAATCTTGCTAATCTTTTTGAAGAACCAGCTCTTGCTTTCATTTATTTTCTGTCTAGTTCACTTATTTTCTATTTCATTTATTTCTGTTTGAATCTTTATAATTTTCTTTTTTTGTTGTTTTGTTGTTGTTGTTGTTGCTGCTGCTGCTGCTGCTTTTCCTATTCCCTGAGGCATGATGTTAGGTTGTCTATTTGCCACCTTCCATCTTTTTCTTATGTGCACTAATTGCTATGAATTTCCCTCTCATGACTACTTTTGCAGTGTTCCATAGATTGTGGAATCTTGTGTACTCATTATCACTTGTTTCCATAAATCTTTTTATTTCAGACTTAATATCTTCAATAGTTGAGAAGTCATTCAGGAGTAGGTTGTTAAGTTTCCATGTGTTTGTGTATTTTCAAGGATTTTTCCTGAAATTAATATCAAGTTTAATTCCATCATGGTGAAGTTGTATTATTAGGGGCATAAGTCTCCCAGTGACTAGTTTAGTATAAGAGGTCAACTTATGTCTTCCAGTAGGAGTGGATCTGATTGCCATTAATGCCCTTGGTAGTACCTTTGGCCAAGCAACCCTATTGACTCTATTAATTTTGCTAATTTTAGTTCCAAACTGCCATTTGCTCTTTTAACTCTCCCAGAAGATTGACAGTGATAGGGACAATGATAGTTCCATTGGGTACGTAGAACTTTATTTAACTATCTTATAATTTTCCCAGTAAAATAGACTCCTTTATCACTAGTGATTTCTTTAGGTATGCCTCATAACAGAAAAAAAATATTTAAGAATTGTTTAGTTACTGTCATAGCATCAGCTTTCACATACTGGAAAGCCTCTGTCTAACCAGAAAACATGTAAATAACTATAAG